AGCAGGCAGAATCCATATGACTGACTAACGAAATAACTTTAAAAAAATTTTTTTCTTAGCCCAAGAAACAGTTTGCAGGAAGCTAATGTATTTTCATTTGTGTAACTTGCCTTTTACAAGCACCTGGGCCACCCGCCTCCAATGCTAGTTAGGGTTCCTTCTCCAACCAGCTCTTAGTTCAGCAAACGATCTCTGGTTTTCAGAAATGAAATGGAGCTGTGGAGAAGGACTGCTGGTTTAACCAGTGCTGGTTTAGCTACGTCGTTTTGGGCACTAGAAAACTAAAGTTAATAATTTGCAATTGGTTTATACCCATAAACGAAATTCCTGTTTCAATAATTAAATGTAATCTTGGCTGTTACTGATTATGTACCTGCATGTGTCCAAGATGCTTTTTATCTTTTCAAACTGAATTGAGAAATTGTACTTAGCACGGCTAGGAACTCGACAAAATTAATTCTGTGGTGACTACCCAAGCAATTAATGTGTACAGGAGTAAACATGAAGATTTTGTAGACAAAAATATCTTAACATAATGCAATGTATGGGGTAAATGCGTAATGTTTTTCTTTGTTTTCTTTTGTAGAGTAGATGGCTTACAAATACAGAAATTATAAAATACATGCTTATAGCTCAGTTTATCAAGGTTTTAAGTGCTATGATACTGGTTCCTTCAAAAGGGAATGGCATCAGAGATATAATATGTTTACTTTTAAGAGCAAGTAACATTCAAGTCCCAAGGAGATGTGAAAACCTGAAAACTAGCATCACTGGTTCATTTTTTGTCCTCTCCCATTAGTTTCCTTTGACCGAAATAATTTGGCGAAAAGTTGCTACAGTTAAAAAGAAGTCCGTAATTTTGCCAACCACTTAAGGGTCTCGGGTTAGATGAAGGAGTTGATATCCGATAACCTAGTAAAAGTGGGGCTAAAAATTACTAATCCATTCCAGAGTGCAGGGTGTGATCGCAGGAAATGCCTCTGATTTATTGAAGCTATTAGTGGAATTTTTGTACCGTTGGAAGATTTGGTTCAAAGCCTGTTGCAAAACTAACAGCTCAGGGCTTTCGCTCTACCAACGTTGTCTGTCAGCCGTAGGTCATTTTGTACCCCCAGACTTACCAGCCATTTCAGCTTCAAGGAGAACAGGGTGCTAAAGAAAAACACTGTCCAAATAACCGGGCAGATAATGAGACCAAGCCAAAAGATTCGAGCTTCAGCTTCAGTTGAGGCAGCTATTGTAGGCACCTAGATGGAAAATTATTGAAATTACTGGTCAAAAGGACAAAATCCCCAATAAAAAACAAATCAGCAGAGGAGGAGGAAAGGACAAAATTACTTCTTTACCTAAATTTCACTTATATGCATGGAAGGAAGATTGATTAAGGTTTTCTGCCTGCTGCCCTACTGTACAGGACAGCATTTTCTTTTCAAAATGTTCACGTCTCTGTTCACATTTAAATGATTTTTCCTTTTGACAATGATAGCTCCCACTAACACTACAGATTAGTAGTATTTTAAAGTCAAAGTCCTGTTACACAGACAATTGCTTTTAAACTTCAGAAATACTAAGTTAATGTTGAAATTAGATTCAAACTTTACCAAGACTTTAGAGAAGTGTGAAACAGAAGACAGTGTTACAAGCTGAACTTTAGTGTGAGTACTTCACTGTCTGTAGTGCAGATTCATGACATGTACCCTCTTCACAAATCAAAAGCATGGGGGGAAAAATCAGTCCAGTATTGGAAAAACTACAATGTGGAAATGGCAATGAGCTGTTGCAAGTGCTAACAAGCAAACTGTAAAAACGTGAGTTAGCAGTTGGTTCCGTTTCAGAAAATGGAATTCTCATAGCAATGTCCATTTCCATACATTTTCCTAAAAACATGCAGTATCTTAGCTTAATTTAAACCTTGTGTGAAGCTTAGTTTTCTATTATGTAAACTAATACTTTAGTTTTGCTTATGAAGTCCACTAATATTCCATAAATTCAGAACTGTTGCTTTGAAAATGCCTCTTCTGTAATCCTAGTGCTGGACACTATAGCAACTGCTGGCACCTCTCTGAATGAGGCATCGTTATTCACAGTGCTCTATTTATGTTCTTCAGGGAGAGCAAAAAACATCAAAGCAGGCTGCAAAAAGCCCTTGTTGAAGATTTCTTCAGGTCAGCACAACACATGTGTTTCTCTCTACACTGAGAGGCCCATTGTTAACTCCCAACATTTAAGAGAAACTAAAGAGAATTGTTCAGAAGCTTCTGATCTTTCCTAGGAGACCAGAATTCAAAATCTCACTCCAAACCTCAGACCACTCAGCCACCACTAGTGCTAACTTCTGAAACAGAAGCTTCACAAATAGAAAAGAAAACCCTGTGGACTTTTCTACTCTGAAAACTGAAAAACCTTTTGTTCATTTCTAGTATCTCAAATTCTCCATGTAAAAATAAGACTCATCCATCCATCCATCCATCATGAGGCAGACAATGGCATCCAAGTTGTAAGTACAGTTAAGTTACTTCATCTTGCCTAAGAAAACCCTGCAAGATGCAATAATTACAAGGTGTCTTTAATTTTTTCATGTACTATTATTCAAGAGAATAATGTTCTGTGCCTTCATAGTTGCAAAAAAAGACAGATCTGCATGAATAAAAGGGTTTAATCACCTTTATCCCAAATTACTGTCAAATCACCCAGCAGTGATATTGCATTAGCACTAACTATTTAGGAGAAAAAAAAAAAGTCAATACACCTGAGAACACTATACCTAAAAGACCTAGTTAACTTGATTAGCAAGATTACAAAAGGCTGCAGTCAGCCCAAAGAAGGGAGAGGGGGGTTGTGATGTCTGAAATGTGAGTACAAGGATTATTTTTCTTCCAGCAAGCCTCAGCACAAAATGGGATTTCAAGGGTGAATCTCTGTTTCATCAGCAGCACACCAGGAATTAGCTGCTTATTGTCGGTGAGTGACTTGGAATATTTCTAAGCAAATTCACCTATAAAGGAAGAGATCTTAAAAAGCTGCCAGAGGACTGGCAAACGAGGTGGGGAATGCCTGACTCTGGAAAGTAAGAGAATTGTGTGTATTCCAGGACCTTGCCATGACAAAATATTTCTCACAGATAAATTATGACAAAAAAATAATCCACGAAATTATATGTTCCTCATTGTAGTACTATGATTTTTACATCAGTCAAGCTACCATGTACCAGACTTCCTGGAAGGCTTTAGTCTATGCAAATGAGTCAACTTTGCTCTTCTAAATAGAATTAACAAACTAATAGGTGAACCAGACTTGCTCATTTTACAGTAATTTTGAGGTCAGGAGGTCATTTTATGGATGCTGTTCTGTTCAAGTGCTAAGAAAGCTCTTGCTTACTGTCTTGATGGAGATAAACTCTGAAGGTCTTCTAGTTTCTTTGCTTTCATGCAGGCTTGCCTCTATTTTCTCTTTAGCTTTCATTTAGATTACAGAACGGTGCCCAGCCCTGCTCTGCCCGCTGCTCGGCTGCTTTCTCGCCGCAAAGGGCTGCGGGGCTGCTAGAGGGCACTCTGGCCCCACACACAGAGCATCTGGCAGGGCTCAGCAGCCAGGCTGTGGGCACAGCTGGATTGGCTTGAAAGGAACATCCTAGTGAGCAGCAGGGAAGCGCTGCTCCACCAGGTTTTGCCTGAATGGGGCTGTGAAGAGCACGTTAGCAAGTGAAAGCACAAACCTGTAGTCTTGACCCTGGCAGCGATGCCAAGTGCCATTTCATAGCTTTTCTGCTCAGAGTGTTTGGGGGAGCACTGGCAGTATCAGAATGCTCTGCGATTCCAGTTCTATTCCCCACCATGTTCCATGAGCATGAATAAAACATTCTTTTTAAGATACTGAATTGGAACTATTCAGCACTGCTTTCAACATAGATCTTTCCTTAAGAGGGTTCTGTGTTGGGATTAAGTATGGGAAGAAGTGTTTATTACAAGATGTTCTCGCTATAAAATAAAATAGAACTACCAGAGACGTTTCATACTGATAGTGCCGTGCTTCAAATACTCATTCTGCTTCTGCATGTGATGACAAGGCTGTGAGACCAGTTTTGTTTTGAATGCTTCCAGGATGTGACAACCAGGTGTGCTTGCAACTGCATACTTACATTATCATCTGCAGAAGCTGGATGTTACTGTTACAAAGGTGCTCTGTTTGTTACTTTATTTGACTTAGTATTGGCTTTATAAGTTTTCCAAGTTTTCCTATGAATTCTGTTTGTCCTGTGCCTGCTTCTATTAACACACTTACCCTTTTTGCTTCAAACACCCAGTGGCTTTTTCCATCTTCATCAATCTGGTTCCACCAACGCAAACCAACCAAGAGTCTTCCTGTCACATTCTAGTGACAGAAACAGTTATTTGCATGAATCGTTTGCATAATACGCTTGTCAGACTAACATTAAAAAAAGACCACTATGTCTGAAAATTGTATTCTTTTATCAAATACTAAAATTAGTTCTATAAGCTGTGCCAGCTTGAGCACAACAGCCATTAAGGACAAATGAGTTACTACAAATTTAGAGGCACGTTCTCTTCTAATATGATAATTAGCACCATAACATTCATTTATGTAAGAAATTATAGGATGTATATTTTCTAAGTCAGTTAGAGGGAGAAGCCTCCGATAAACACATTTCCTCAGTAAGAGAGAACAGTGAACAAAAACACACTGAAAAAATGTAAGATTAATTGTAAGCAAGCTGCATGGAATCAAGCAAACCAATTAAGAAAACATTTCTGCACCTAGATGAATACTAGAAGTTTTCAGTATACTGGAGATGCATCAGTGCTTCACTTCTACATAACAAAAGCCTTGTTCCATGTGTGGAGCCCCTGGGACTCTGGGCTGGCCTGACCCACCACCTTCCTGCACCTTATTAGGGCACCACAGCCAGGCTCCCAGGAGCCTTCTGCAGCTCCTGTATGCCAGGCTGGGCACAGCACTGCAGGGCTGCATGTCCTTTGGCATCTATTACTGAAAGCCAGTATCACTTTCTCTTTTTTTTAAGGGGTGTAAAGCATACAAACCTACCTATGGCAGGGCAATTTTTGCACCATAGTAGTAGCTCCCATCAGCGACAGAGAATGTGGTGATAAACAGTGCCAGAGTAACTAAGATATGTAAATGTCTTAACTAAAATGGGCTAGACATTTAATAAATCTATAGATCACAAGGTTTTTGTCACTTTTATCAGTATACATATTTCCTTTTGTTTTATTTAATGGCACACAAAATACTTTCAAAGATAACTACTATTCAGGGTTATCTTACCTTAACTGACCAAAAGTCAAAGGATAGAAGGAGGAGAATAGTGACAAAACAGGCAACAAAGCTGTTGCTGAACCAGTCACAGAACAAGTAGGTAATAATAGCACTCACTCGGAAAAACAGGTGGAAAAAGGTGGCCAGTGGGTGCCTAGGAATAAAAAAAAAAAACAACAGAGCACTTAGGAAGTTATGGGACAAGAAGGAATGTCACAGTATTTGCTAAGTGTAGTAATACACAACTATTTCTAGTCTATAATGGTTTTCAGCTGCTATTATTTCATATGTTTATGTATATCTTCATTACCAAAGCAACAGTATTTCCAATAGCCAACCTTCAATCTAAAGCTAAAAGACAGAATGTGTTGTTCCTCTCAAAACTTTCCCAAAGATAGAACAAAATCTAAAGCCTTTCACCAGCTTATTTGGTACTGCATGAAGGAATTTAGTGGTTGCGTTCAACACTGTACCCTAAAATCCTCATCGTTTCATGAAATAAATAAGTGTTGCAAGGCACAAAAAAATTGAGACAGATCTTATGCCTTTCAGAACTGTTTTGAAAACAAGAACAGGAACTCTGAAACAAAAAAAATAAAAAAAGAAAATAAAAAAAGTTATCTCTTGGGTGTAAGACACATGTAATGTCTGAAACCAAACACTTCCTTTTACAGAGGGAATACGACTTGGGAATCTAACAGTTCTTATGAATGAATGTTCGTTAGTATCACTAGATATTCTTTGCTCATCAAACAAAATTTGGTCCATAACAAAATAAAGGGGAATTTCAGTGGAGAAAGTAACTACACAGCACAGAATATTGGCCTGTACAGTAAGACAGGCACTTTAGAGAATGCTATAATAAGCACGGTACAATTTCCAGGGTAATATGTCAAGTACAAGAACTTGTTCTGTAGAGTTGTGTTTGTGTTAATTAGTTTATATTGATGATTAACTAGAGGTTATTGCAAATTTAAGTAACTCCTTCCCTTGAAGCTGAGCGAATAAAACTTGTTTCCTGAATAAGACTTTTTTTTTTTAAGTCAGCGACTGTCTCATTAAGCTCTTCTACCTCTGTAAACAATTAACAGTAGTATGGCCTAGGTCATAATTAACTATTCAACTATTACATTTGTTATTCTATTATTGCATACAATGAAATGATACATATAATACATACGCAATTATAATTGTTTATACTAATTTATAATGCAATTTAAATTATAGTTATTATATGTATATCTGTATTGTAATATTATTATGCTATAGCTGTTTAACTGCTCCAGTAATTATCTATTCTATAACGGCAATATTGTGCTTGTAGTACTACACACACATGACTGGAGAAGCAAGAATGACACACAGCTGTAGTTTATATTTACTCCTGATCATGCCCACGCTACCCTCGAACTTTCCACAAAAACCACTTCTGACTTAAAACTGAACACGTAACATTTTAAGCAAGAGCTTTTTCTGCCATACGCAGACAGGTGGGTGGGTGGAGAGGAGGGAGTACTGTTGAGTGTCAAAACCAGACAGTGTCTTGCTACTTCAAGTCTTGATCTTGTTCAAGAAGACACAAGAGTTCACTGCATGAGTGGTATCTCCTGTGAATACAAGCTATTCATGGATCACAGCCCTAAACTGTATTAGGGTGGACTGAGCTTTCATAGCTACACCAGTGCTTCAAATGTGCAAGTGACTTTGGAGAAGTAGTGTTTCATTCTGGAAGTCAGATGATGAATTACTGTAGCACTACAGAATATCAGGCCTCTCACAAGGACAGGACTAGCCAAGCCAAAGGCACAGACTTGCAGGTTCTTGTCCTAGGGGAGGAATATGAAGATATATCAAAACTTGCACCTCATTCTTTGGACAACTGTCTCAATCTCAGAAAATGTCCATCTAGTTATACTTAAAGAAAAAAAAAATCATGAATCTAACAGAATCCAGTAAATAAAGTGTTCACTTCCTTACTTAACAGAACAAATGTTTTCTTAATTCACAGCCATCAGATGAAACTTACAGCTCTTATCATATACGAACAGAATTTTTAATAAGGAGATAACCCCAGACAGATAAAATTGCTTTCTAAAACCTGAAGCTAAACCATCTGCATCCTTTTTGAAACAAAAAACTTTACAGCTTTTCTTAAGTGAATGCATTTATACTGAATTCAATTGTACTTAATAAAATTTTTAAAAGCTGATTTCCAGAAATATGATGGTATTAAGAAATCATTGTATAAATTAACATGATTTCTTGTACTAATGGAAGACAGTATAGGCTTTAAAACTTTTCTTCTTTTTTTTTTTTCTTGCATTCAAATCCAATAAAGGTAACTAAAACTCTGCATGGGCTCTGCTTGGCATACATTTGCTCCTGAAAGCATAGCAACCCACTTGCTTGGACTTTTAGTTATCCTGTTGCATCTAAACATCCATGTAGTACAGAACTGGAGCCTTGAGGCTAAGTGACTACCAGTTATCTTGTTACAATAACCTCTGTTCCTTTTGCAAGCATGATGCCTGTTAGGATAGGAACGAGCTGTTATAAATTTAGCTGCATCCCATATTCAGGAATCAAACTGGGTCAGTCCTAATGTATGTCAGTGACCATAGGAGAATCATTCGCAGTACCTGCTCAGAAGTGCCATGGAAGCACTCTACATGCTGCTTATTATACCTCTGGTACTTCAAACAAGTTTTGAACAGGCTCTCTGGCTTGATCATCTTGTGTTACCTGGCTGATTTGAAAAAGAAGCTATCATATGTTCCTAACTGTTCCACATCAAATGTTCTGATACTGCAATGAACTGCAAGATGGTGTAAGTTATCTTTTTCCTAACCTTCTTACTAGCCACTAACTATTATCTATCCACATACCTTTTACTTTTAAGGAGTATTTGCATATACCTTGGAGAAATCACAAAAGCACAACTCATCATAGGTTATGCAAATTTTAACCAAGTTCAAGGTATATGAAATTGGAATAAAGTTAAATGATTAGAACGCATTATGCCCTCTAATAAGACAAAATTTTGTGGTACATGGGTGTGTTCGAGGCTTGTTTGCACAAGGTTCTTCAGAAATATAAAAACAAACTTCTGTGTGAACAATGTAAGGAGTTTCATTTCTGTATTCTGTAGCAGAAGATTTTTCAGTATGAGGTTATTTTTTAGTATTGTCACAATGAGGGCAAGAAAGAGCAGTCTCTAATGAAATAAGCGTCTGCACAATGTGGGCAAATTAGCAGTATAGTTTACTGATACTTTGCCTGTCTATATTATCACGTAGTGTGAACCAGTAGGAACAGATCTCTAGAGTAAAGTAACTGGTGCTGTGGACCCCTTGCAAACATTTCTGGGTGGTTTCACTTCACACTAATTCTAGTCTGGTCCCATAGACTGACTCTGTGGCTTGCATGCTGAAGACACACTCCTAAACTGTATTTCCCCATTTAGTTTAATCCTTTAAATTATGTTCTCCAAGACTGCACCAAAATATAAACCTTCATTTAAAACATCCGCTGGTGCTAAAGCACAGAAGCAAAACAGCTCTGGGAATGTTAATCTTGCGTCACGGCTGACTCATGATGTAGTTGCAAAGTCCAATACACTGGAAGGGCAGAAACACTTCCACAGACAGTAGTAAAACAGACTAATTGTATTTGTAAAACTACATGATTGCTTGTTTGTGTATCTCAGATAACATTTGTGTTGGGCTTAACATCTGTTTTTCTTTGTTTAAGTGTACAAGAAATATTAACACTGTAATAGACCAGAGTAAACTGGGGCAAGGTGGAAGGGAAGAAAGCAATATAAATCAAAGCTGATTATATACATTATTGGTGAGTGCATGCATATGTATAATTCCTTTTGACAAAAAACTTTTCCCTTGACAGTCTTGGAGATACTTCAGAAGCCACTGATGGAGCAACAGCTGTCGCCTGGGACCTCGGTGTGGACAGAGCTGCAGTGACACCGCTGTAATGTAACCGTGGGCTGCTGAGCCTGGCAGAGACGGGCCTGGGGGGTTGGTTTTCTCAGGTAACAGCTGATATGATATATATATCATATATACATATATATATGATATAAGGATGTGATATACTGTATTCCACACAACATCACATCCCGTGGTAGGAAACATCACAGATTTATTGCACACAAGCTGCTGTTTCCCCTCAGCTGGGTGTGCAATGCAGTGCCAGAGCACAACTGGTTTTGCTGAAGACGAGAGCTCTCCCCACTTCTCCAGCTCTACGAAAAATGCTCTTTGCTTGGGTGTGTGGGGGTGTTTTTTTGTGATGTGTGCGCTTTGGGTGTATCAAAT